GGCATGCATTGCCGTGATTTGTATTGATAATAATACTAAAATTCAGATATTTTAATACGCAATGTTTCAAGCTCCAATATAATTTATTGCTTATGCTCTAATTTCAAACGCGGGAACAAGCATGACAATCAAAAGTGTGCTAATTATCTTCGCTCAAATCAATCAAAATATTCTCGCTTATGTGAGAAATCTATGTAAAATTATATTAATTGTGGGCAAAGCATATTTTGCTATCAAAGTCGTATATCTTTGACAATCGGCATGAGTAACAGAGTCGCCACCAAAATTCTTCCAGACGTTACGACGCCCCCCCCCCCCCCCCCCCCCGAAAAAAAGCTCAGGAATGTTTTTTTTTTTTTTAATATTAATGTTCATATAACATTTTGTTACTTTTTTACGCGCAGGCGTTTTGCCAATCTCAGCCTTCCCAGTCCGAAGAGACGCCTAGTTGCTCGCACCTCTGCTAACTGCAGCACGTTGCGTTTGCGTTGGAAGCCGGTGAAACAGTTTTGAGTTTCAGTATTGCGTATACGAGCGAACGCAAGCTCTGTGTGTGGGCGTTAGCGCGTGCGCGGAGCCCAAAATTGCGGTCTTGGAATGGCGTATGGCGATAAGGCGCACGCACAACGTGGGGCACGCAACTCTAACGCAAAACACACAGCGCTTGCGTTTGCTTCTGTACGCGATACTAAAACTCTCTCGTAAGGTACCATCCCATACCAGCTGCAGCACTACGTTGGGACAGTGAAGAGTGTTGTTTGCGTTCGGAAATGACATTTCGCGAGCCATGATCGCGCGAAGTTCTGCCGTACCCAATGAACAGGAGAATCGGGGGACACTCACTAGAGCGCTTTCCGTTTCCGCCGCGGGAGGGCGGAGCAACGAGCTGGAGACGCAAATTGGGGCCTAAGCCAGACCTTCGACGCGCTGATTGGACCCGAGCCCCAGGACGGACACTGGCGCAGCACTCGTGCCCAATCGGACGCCTCGATCGATCTGAACGTGATGACGCTACCGAGGACTCAGGTGGTCTTGGGCCTCCTCTCCCTCCATGAAACGTCATCAGAGTTGGCTAACTCGGCTATTGGGCCTAAGCCAGACCTTCGACGCGCTGATTGGACCCGAGCCCTAGACGGACACTGACGCAGAACTCGTGCCCAATCGGACGCCTCGATCGATCTGAACGTGATGACGCTACCGAGCACTCAGGTGGTCTTGGGCCTCCTCTCCCTCCATGAAACGTCATCAGAGTTGGCTAACTCGGCTATTGGGCCTAAGCCAGACCTTCGACGCGCTGATTGGACCCGAGCCCCAGACGGACACTGACGCAGCACTCGTTCCCAATCGGACGCCTCGATCGATCTGAACGTGATGACGCTACCGAGGACTCAGGTGGTCTTGGGCCTCCTCTCCCTCCATGAAACGTCATCAGAGTTGGCTAACTCGGCTATTGGGCCTAAGCCAGACCTTCGACGCGCTGATTGGACCCGAGCCCTAGACGGACACTGACGCAGCACTCGTGCCCAATCGGACGCCTCGATCGATCTGAACGTGATGACGCTACCGAGGACTCAGGTGGTCTTGGGCCTCCTCTCCCTCCATCAAACGTCATTAGAGTTGGCTAACTCGGCTATTTGGCCTAAGTCAGACCTTCGACGCGCTGATTGGACCCGAGCCCTAGACGGACACTGACGCAGCACTCGTGCCCAATCGGACGCCTCGATCGATCTGAACGTGATGACGCTACCGAGGACTCAGGTGGTCTTGGGCCTCCTCTCCCTCCATGAAACGTCATCAGAGTTGGCTAACTCGGCTATTGGGCCTAAGCCAGACCTTCGACGCGCTGATTGGACCCGAGCCCTAGACGGACACTGACGCAGCACTCGTGCCCAATCGGACGCCTCGATCGATCTGAACGTGATGACGCTACCGAGGACTCAGGTGGTCTTGGGCCTCTTCTCCCTCCATGAAACGTCATCAGAGTTGACTAACTCGGCTATTGGGCCTAAGCCAGACCTTCGACGCGCTGATTGGACCCGAGCCCTAGACGGACACTGACGCAGCACTCGTGCCCAATCGGACGCCTCGATCGATCTCAACGTGATGACGCTGCCGAGGGCTCAGGTGGTCTTGGGCCTCCTCTCCCTCCATCAAACGTCATTAGAGTTGGCTAACTCGGCTACTAGGCCTAAGCCAGACCTTCGACGCGCTGATTGGACCCGAGCCCTAAACGGACACTGACGCTGCATTCGTGCCCAATCGGACGCCTCGATCGATCTGAACGTGATGACGCTGCCGAGGACTCAGGTGGTCTTGGGCCTCCTCTTCCTCCATCAAACGTCATTAGAGTTGGCTAACTCGGCTGCTAGGCCTAAGCCAGACCTTCGATGCGGTGATTGGACCCGAGCCCTAAACGGACACTGACGCAGCACTCGTGCCCAATCGGACGCCTCGATCGATCTGAACGTGATGACGCTGCCGAGGGCTCAGGTGGTCTTGGGCCTCCTCTCCCTCCATCAAACGTCATTAGAGTTGGCTAACTCGGCTACTAGGCCTAAGCCAGACCTTCGACGCGCTGATTGTACCCGAGCCCTAAACGGACACTGACGCAGCACTCGTGCCCAATCGGACGCCTCGATCGATCTGAACGTGATAACGCTGCCGAGGACTCAGGTGGTGTTGGGTCAGCCGACGACCCGATGGAAGCAATCAAGCTGCCCCTGCACGGTCACGCTCCTGGCTGTGATAAGCAGAGATCGAAGATCCTTCCTTTGCGGTTCAGTGCTGCCATCTTCTGCGGCGGCAATGGAAATTCGAGCGCAGAAGCGGGAAACGGACGAACTAAAACGCGGAGCCAGCTTGCGGGAAAAGAGAGCTACGAACATATCTTCAACCTGTCTCTAGCTTAGCACAGAATTGAACACGTCTAACGACTTCTAAACTACGAGTTGGGCTACCTTGCATCAAGATGCGGCTTTTTGTTTTTTTCGACTGCAGAGACCGAAATGCGTGCGTCAGTTGGTAATTATAAGCTTTGCTAGTGTTTATTCATACATGCACCGCAACTAAAGTTTGCACCAAATGAAACCCGGTAGTGCGTTATGGTCGAAGTTGTTCCGTTAGAATCGTTCGAAAATTGTATTGTTCACTGTCGCCCCAAAAAAGTACCTCAGCGACGTAGACTCCATCAGATCTGCGTGAGATGCATTTTGTTTTCCGTCAATAAGGTTTCCGAAAAAAAAAAAAAAAGGATAAATTAGACAGCGAGTGTTGGTTAAGCATTTGCCCGTTGCTCGTTGTTTTTCTTTCTTGTGCTGCGTTAGCTGGTATTTTCTTTCAAGTGGGATCTGCATAAGAATGTCTTTCCACAGCTCGCGTTTGTCAGGATTTGGAAGAGCCACCACTGTCTTCAGGGGGCTGAGCAGAAAGAAAAGCGACAAACCAAACTTTTTTAGACGCACGTAAAAGTAGGCATTTATAGGCACTCTAAGAACGTCTTTAAGGTACTTTAAAATAACAATGAATACCTAATCATCCTGTGTCTACAATCACAGCCAAACCGAGAGCAGCAGGGCGTGTCTTGTGAACGGCCGGCTTCCAGCATGTGCTCGATGCCTTTCGCGGTGCTTTGGCTGCGCATGCGCGTTCGAGGCTCACGAGACGCCGAAGCTTCATCGAAGGTAGGATGCTCGCGCTCAAGGTGGGATAACTCAAGCTCGTCCCCATTTTGCCGTGTAGTAACAAAAGCGATGATTTAAATGTTTTCGAAACGATGATTCATCAGGAAAAACAATGTCGTACTTACCGACCACGGAAAGCACTCTCCATTTGAAGAGGTCTGTTTGGTGGTAGGCGATTCAATTTCATTGTTCAGCTCTGAACGTGATCTGTAAGAAGCCCACATCATACGTATACGAACATTTCTGCTCTCAATAACTTTACTTCTTCGGGCATTCCTCGAGTGGTTCCCAAGCCTGTGGTGCCCACATTGACGTGACACCCATTGACCTTCGTTAGTTTCCTAGGAATGTCCCACGCCCAATAAAAAAAAAAAAAAAAAAAAAAGGGAGGGGGGGGATTATAGGCAGGCTTTCACAGCATGCATTTCCGGAAAGAAATATCAGAATGTCCAAATATAGAAGCAAGAGGGTTTGTATCAAAGGCGATCTTGGTTTTTATTCCTCGGAGGGAGATTTTTTGCGGATGGGCCGTTTTACTTCCAGCGTGTCTGCGTCGGCGTGGAATTCGTCTCTAGTACGTCAAGTGTGGAAACTGGCTTGGTTTAGCTGGGATCGGCAAATCAATAGGCGTTTCCGCAAACTCTCGGAAAGACTCTCCAAAAATCCCCCGATGCCACAACGGCGTGCGGCGAATTAGGAGAGGGAGGTCGGACGTGTTGTAAGTCCTGCGGAAGTGCGGCTCCATCCACATTCTTTCAGCCTCGCGATTTCGGAGCGCAAACACAGTATGAGGACGAGCACAACGCATATCGAACGCACAAGCTCTGTTTTGCATTGTTCTGCTTTCTTTACATTTTAAGGTCAGATCAAATGTTAAACCTGCGTGGGTTTGAGTTAGACTTGGAAGTGACATTATTTGAACTTGAAAACAAAACGCCTTGAACGCGCAACATTCGTCGCAATCTGCCTGAATGCCTCTATGTTTTAGGTGCGTCAATAATTGCCTCATCGAAAAAGTCCAGCTTCCTGATTGTCCTAGCAGTCGCCGCGTGCATGCATTACGGAAATGGTGGAAATTACGTTCGATGTCTGCATAGAGTGAAAGATGAACAGCATACTCACAGATGAACCACCGCAGCCAGTACAAATAATAATTTTGGGATCAGGAGTTTCTTCGAGGGCATTTTTAGCGCCACAGAGACGAGGAATAACTTGGCTTCTTTATGTGAGTTGCGAAGACTAACCTTTGGATTGCGTCGGCTGCTAGAACGTTCGAACTGAATCCCTGGGGCCCTATGTTGCGCTTTTTAAACTCCATCGGCGACTAGAGAGAAGGAAGTGACATCAACAACGCAGAAAGCGCCGATTGGATGTGATTTGTGATAGTCGCTGATGACGAATATCCGCAGAAGAAAACAAAGAAAAAGTGAGCTTTGTTATCTTCTGCGGAAATTCATCATCAGCGACTCTCACCAATAAACATCCAATCTGCGTTTACTACGTTGGTGACGTCACTTCATTCTGCTTAGTCGCCGTGGAATCCAAAAAGCGCAACATAAGGCCCCAGCTGTACTTTAGGTTGTAAACAGATTTTGTACATGACTTCCATTGTGTTGTCACGGCGCGGATAATGACAAGAGATGTTTGCGATTCTAACGAAGAATCGGTGCACCCGATTGCCGCCCACCGCCGGTCCTGCAACGAATATCCGCCCAGGTTTGAGGAGGCGCACCTGCTCGGGCTCCATTGCCAAAGATTTGAGAGGGAAGTTATTGGACGCGTAATTGTTAAATCCATGTTTCTTTAAACAAAAACCTGAAACCCATTAAAAAAAAAAAAAAAGAGTTTTAGGTGAATTTCGAGGTATTTTTATCCCGTGAATCTGAGTGTCACGTTCGTTTTCCCCGAATATGAACCTAAACGCGGGAAACGACGAAAAACCTCCTACCAGTCGTGACGTCATAAGAGAATCTTTCGGCAATTGCAAGCTTGCCACGTATTTATTCCCCCGCACTGGCGCCAGTCGTGACATATTTTTCTTACCTTTTTTCGAAATAGCGAGAGTGCGCGTGCATAGCTTTGATAGGTCCTGGAGATGCGCGAAGCGGAGATTCGGCAAACTCCTTTTGTGACGTCACGCCCCGGGAAGAGGGACTTTGGCGGTACTTCGAAAATGATTTTCTGCAGCCTCCGTACACCACATTAAAATTCTAATATCGATATCCGTCATCCTAGAGGCCAAACGAAGACGATTTAAATGTTTTCCCTCTAATAGAGAACCGCTTCCATTTTTCCTTAAGGCTATATATTTGCGTTCGAGTGCGTTGTGACCAACGCAAGCAGCTATTCAGCCGCCTACGACCGCCATTCCTGCTGATGCACTACCTTTCGTAAGTCCTCGCAAGAGGCTGAAAAACAGGCGTCGGAGTTGGTCAGACGTGTGTGAACCCGCCTTTACACCTCCTCCCACACTCGGAATTTCCTACTCCGAGCGCAGCAACAAGGCAGAGCATAGCGCGAACAAGACACACAGAAACTATCGAGGCCACTTCCGACCGTGCGGTTATGACGAACCCGGCATCTCGTGGATACGAATGGCAGAAACCGAAGGAACTTCGCAGATAAATTAAGGCCTGCGTGAGGCGGCAGTGTGTGAAGTGAGAAATGAAAGACGTTTACAACGCCCTGTAACGCCGAATTAGAGCGCAGCTCTTGAGGAGGAGGAGGGAAGGGTACTGAGGGGAGGCTATGCCCCTCCTCCCTCCTCCTCATCCATCCTGCTACTCCTCCTTTCCTACTCCGTCCTCTTCCTGCTCCTTCGTTCCGCCGCGGGTGCGCTGCTTTTAGAGAGTTGTAGGGAACCGGCACATCCGAGACGGTACGATAGGCAACCCGGTACGAAGTGCGCTACCGGCAGCAGACTCGCACATGCCCAGTGCGTACCGGAGGGCCCATCGTATAGTCTTGGATGTGCCGGTTCCCTAAAACTCTCCATTGGCAGGGCGCATGCGCAGAAGCTTCGCGGGAATCTGGTTCCTGCGCAGGCGCTGTGCCCACACCTCGTGTAGCGTTTGCCCCCCCCCCCCCCCCCCCCCCCCACCTCGTGGGTCTAGAAGCAGCGCGTTGGCCTATTAGCGGCGAGATTTCTTGGTGGTGCCCTCGTATGGTTTCTTTTCGTGACGTCATTGCCTTATGAACAACAAGTTCGAAGGTGTTTGTAATGAGCATGCTGGAAGCTTGAAATCACTGCACTCTAAAACCAACACTGCTAATTCCGTCACAATTGAGGCTCTTACATTCCTCTTATTTCCGTCGAGGTGAAATCTTTTGCTGACGTCATCGTCAGCATTTGGCCAATCGTGCAAGGCGGACCACAGCGATGCTTTCGGTCGCGCTCGTCGCCAATACACTGGACCCCATACTCGAGTCCGATGTTTTGAGCGCATGCTCACAACGAGCTTACACTACTAGGCTGCTAAGACCGGTAATCTTGATGGTGCGGAATGCACGTTTCAAAAGAACTCTGCAAGCTCGCTGTCAGCACGCGCTCGTCAGTTGATCCCGCAGCTATGGCCGCTAATAAATACTCTCTTGTTTTAAACACGCGCCAGATTGAGCCGCCATTGCCGACCTTCTCAAGCCTTACCGGGATGCCGAGCCACCGAAGCTGGCGTTGACGAGCCTTCACAAAGGCCTATGCCGAGGAGAAGGACGGAGTCGCGCCTAAAGTGGCAAGAACCTGTCCTGCTTTGGCAATTATGAAGTGAAGCGAACGGAATAAGGGGAAAGAAAAATTGCAGGTCGGTTATGGCGGCGCCCACGCACAGCTGCCTGGAAGATACCGGCTGTAGCGAGTTCGATGTTCAGGACGGAAGAGATGGTGCGACCGACTCCGAAGCTTAGGTGAGAATGTTCTGTTCATCCTCTAGTGCCGTCGGGCTCGAGCCGACCACTAACTTTGTTGCCTTTGTGGGTGCCGACGCTGGACCGACACACCACCGTTCATAGCACATCAATTAATTTTCAGGCGGTAGGCACGAATAAATTTTTCCCGCAACGCTAACTGATGTTTCGAATTTTTAATCCAATATCTTTATTCGCTGGGCTAAGCATTCTAAAAGGGGCAGCGGTCCGAATGTCTTCTTATCCCGACATGTTTTCTGTCGCTGTGCAATCGGCACGCTACCGTTCAATAGATGAATTGGGTTTCAGGCGAGATGCAGGGACAAACCTTTTGCGGATCGCTAATAGCTGTCGTGGCTTTCAAATGAAATCGTTTTCGCCCGCTAGATTAAGCACTGTTCAAGTGAAAAAGAACAGCGGTACGACAGTGCCCTTCGTCTTGACAACCAGCGCAGCCATCTTGTTTGTGGATGTGGCGTCACGGAGCGCCAAGAAGTCACTCGCTCTCCAAGGAATGTACCAACTTCTTCCCTTTCTCTTCCCACTTTTTCTAAAGGGCGTTGGGGAACGGCGATCGTAGCTGAAAATAAACGTTGTTGTGGATTCAAGAACGGTGGCCGTCTGTGTTTAGTCCCTTTCCCGTTTTATTATTTCCGCTAAATCAACGTCGAAAATTATAACCGTTTACCCCTTAGCTCATGACATGTTGAACTTGTCTATCAGTTCCGAAAGACATGAAGGAAACATCGCTACTTAAGTCGTCCCTGGGTGTTGTTGAAGCTGATCAGATCTAAGGATGCCAAACAGTGAAGGCCGTGAACCAAAGTCTATTGACTGGTAGGATGTTCCCGAGTATTGACTGGCAATGCGTCCTCAAAATAAAAAGTTTTTCACTACCTGTATACCTGAATTGGTGTTTCAGAATCCCTTTTTATGTATTTGTGGAAGTATTTGGGAAAGATCTTAATATGCCAAAGGCAAATGTATTTTAGTATCTGTATTTTATCTTTCGGCGCATGTATTTCAATATTTGTATTACAGATGAGTTCTTTGAGCATCTCTGCCCGGCGTGATATATGTTCTGAAAGCCTCAAATACAGATAATGAGATATGCCTTTCTTTGAAGTAATTGGATATTTCAAAGATACTTGTGCAAATACAGTACACTTGCGCCCAATATACAAATACCGAAATACTTGGTTTTCTTTTCCATTATCGGAAAGGCGATGATCTGCCAAGACATTTACTAATGCAGCATAATGTAGACATCAGCCCTAAGTATTCCAAGTCAGTATTCAGGAGACCGAGCTTCCCACTCTTCACCGTTTGGCATCGCTCAGTCCGGTGTGCTGCAACAACACCCAGGGACGAATGGAATATCATGTTTCTCTTCCAACTTTTCGGTGTAGCAAACGAGCCCGACAAATCGTGGGCTGAGAGGTTGGTTGTTGTTGTTTTGATGCTACGGTGAAGGTGTACAGTCCCTGGCCATGTCAGCTCCCCCGGCCGAACGCCGACCGTAGCAGTGAAACTCCCGCTTGTGGCGCGTCGAGCGTGGCCGCGCTTTGGGAGCCCAGCTGTTGAAGTCACCTATTTCGTTACCGAAGGGGTTGACAGATAGAGCTTTCATCATGTGTGAATCGTAAAAGCATGGCCGATTAGAATTGCTGCTTTCCGCTGTTGGCCTGAAGTGTTCAGTGATCTTATAGCTGCTGATAAACGCTATTCGCGTCTCCAGCTCGACGCTCGCCCTCCCGCGGGGAAACGTGAAGCGCTCTAGTGAGGGTGCCCCGATTCTCCTGCTCAGCGGGCACGGCGGAACTGCTCGCGATCATGGCTCGCGAAATGTCATTTCCGAATGCAAACAGCACTCTTCACTGTCCCAACGTATAGTGCTGCAGCCAGCATGGGATTGTACCTTACTGGTGAGTTTTAGTCTGGCACATAGAAGCAAACGCAAGCGGTGTGCGTTTGCGTTTGCGTTAGAGCGTGCCCCACGTTGTGCATGCGCCTCATCGCCACGCGGCATCCAAGACGGCAATTTTGCGCTCCGCACGCGCGCAGTGTGGAACACGCAAAGCTAACGCAAACACAGCGCTTGCGTTCGCTCGTATACGCGTTACTAAAACTCACTACTGTCTCACCGGCTTCAAACGAAAACGAAAAGTGCTGCAGTGAGCAGACATGCAAGCAGGTAGGCGTTCCTTCCAACTGGAAAGGCTCAGATTGGCAAAACGACGGAGCGTGAAAATGAAAGTAACTAAATGTTATAAAAAAACTG